CATACTGCCAAACGTCAACATAAGTAAAGTTTATGATGTAAATGCATGAAGAAACAGTACTAGGAGTACATATTATATACATATCCTTACCTGAATTTCTTGTCATATTTCCTCAAGCTATTTTTACTCGGTAAGAAAAAAAACTAGATGATTAGAAGTCTGTTCGAATCCCATATGTATGTGTATATATATGGAAGTGATGGTTAATAAGATTGTTGTTTAAGCTCACACTTATTCTCGGATACATAATTTTAAACTCCTTTACTCTTTCTCTCCTTTTTCTCTTTATTCTATTTAGTTTGTTGCTTTTTCGACATCAGTTATTACACTACTGTCTGAAAAAGCAATAGTTCTACACATTTAGAAGCTGCATTCTCAATCACTTACCTTGGAGATAATTTATTCTCTTAGAACTTTCACCAAAGAAATGGATTGTAATTTATTCAACCCTAAAACTTTAGGTAATATGCACCTCAATGGCAAAACAATAGTCCGTTAGAACCCTATGGGAATAACGTATCCAATTCATTATCCCATCAGAGTATCTGACTACGTTTCAGGGGGGTAAGTGTAATTATCGATACCACAGGGACCTTACAGTTATTTAAGCTTACCTCAGGGGGGTGTGTGTAATTTATCCTAATTGATTTTATTGTTGTTACAGCATATATTATACATACTTGTGCTGCTGCTATCAATAATAATTAATTAATTCAGTGTTGAAAAGTTTGTTTATTTATGGCTCCATTATTCATTGTCCTCACTTGGGGTTTAATGTTGTCAGAATCGGACCGGACACAAAATCGGCTAGGCATTTGGATCGCGGTTGGACCGATCATAAAGCATCTCCTTTTTGTCCATCTTCCGGCCAAGCATCTCCTTTTCAAACCTGTCTCATTTTTTTTCCTGTCATTCCCAACCCTCACCATTCAAATTCAAACTCTCCGCCTTGATTTTGACGAAAAAACGGTCGAACCGGATTTCGACCTTTTGACCCCGGTTTCTATCTTGATGTTGTTGTTTCTTTTTTTCTTTTTCTTTTCCTTTTTTTCTTTTTGGGGGACTAAAATGCAATTTATTAACAGATAAATAAAATATCAAAATTTGACCCAGTCATAATTAGGTGATTTAACACTAGTGTAAATTATCATCTAATTTCAAATTATGTAATCATATTTTATCACTTACAGTACTCGCACTCTCAGCGAAAAAGAAATAATGAAGAAGCTGAGATGGGCTACGGACGGCGGATTCTGGGAGGTTGACCTATCCACGGCGGTGACTGTTGACGGAGTAGCTCGGCCGGCGCCGGAGGATCCCATACCTTTAGGGTTGAGCCGTGGGACAAGGTTGTCTCGTCCCAAGCAGATTGATTTCTTCCAGAGATTCATGTCTATGCCCTTTGTCCCCTCTTTCTCCAATTCCAACGGACTCTCTTTCCACCGCCTTATCTCTCTCCCTCTCCCTCCCGACACCTGGTATGTCTGTATGTACGCCCTTCCCCCCTCCGATTACTATCAAACAATATTAATTTTTGGGGGTAAATTAAAATGAATTGACGTCGAATAATATGTGAAAAGAAAGTTATGCAGGTTTTCAACATTGGTTGGACGCTTCGATGTGCGCAAGTTCACATCTTCTCTCCCACCAAGGCAAAGGCCAAGGCAACAACAAGAGGACTCCGATGCTTCTTTTTTGCATACTGTTTGGACACATCTTTTGAACCCAGGCTTCTATGCTCTCAATTTCTGCTCCGAATGGCTGTTAACACCTGAAGATACACTGCTACTCAGCCTCGAAAAACACGGTAGCAGCCACGACACCATTCCTAGGAAGAAGGCTGTACTTCATCACAAGGCAAGACCTCTTCTGTTCTTGCATATATTTATTTTCCATCGAGACTTATTATTATAACATAAGATACTTGTTTGTTGTTGTTGCAGTTCTTCGATCATAATCTCACTATCGAGGCAGCTTCTCCCACACTCTTTGTCGATAGTCTTGGCAATTACTGGGATGTTCCCTTCACATTGGGGCTGGATTTTGCATCACTACCTTCTTCTGATTCTGGGATGAGCTCTCATTTCTGCATCAACCATACTTCAGGTTCCCCCCATAAATATGATACGACCCCTGTATCCGTACCCGTACCTCCTAGTTTGCTTCCTGGTTTGTGCGCCAAATGTGCCGTTTCCTTCAAGAACAACTTTGACATTTGGAGGAGCCAAGCACCAAAGACGAAATTGGTGCAACCCTATGATATATTTCTCTCTAATCCTCATATTTCAGCATCCGCAATCATAGGTAGTTTTGAATGCTTTCTGGTCCAAGGAGAACAAGTTACTTACTTTTTTGGGAGTATTTGTTTCCTTTTCCATTCCATTTTTAACTCTTTGGCTAAGACCATGGCATGGATGACATTCCATTCCGAATATTGGGAATCCATGTTTGTTATATGCACTTTCGGTGCTTATCTTGAACCAATCCAGTCACTTGATTGCATAATACATCTACTTTCCCATGCTTCTTAGTACATGTATCTTTCTAACATCAATTTTCTTTTTATTTTCTACTTTAGGAACTGTAATAACTGCATCCCTTGGAGAGAATTCTGTTAGAGCCAAGGCAGCAGATGGATGGTTTGGATTTCAAGCCAAAGGACCAAATTCTGCCATTTCAGCTGATCTTTTTGCAACTGCATCACTCTCCGCTCAACATGGAAATTTCCAGAAGCTCTTTTTGGACCTTACCCGTATTAATGCACGTGTAGATGTTCCTTCCATGTCAAAATTTGTAGTTGGTGCCTCTCGATTAGCTGTGGACCTCTACAATTCTCGTCAAGCACCAAGTGTCGAAGCAATCCAGTTTATCTGTCCTTCTGCCAGCCTTTCAATTCAGCAGCAGGTATTATTTATGTACCTTTGATATATCACTGCTAGGTAGATAGATAGATAGCACTGGAGCTTTGTGTTTTAGAAGCGTAAGCCCGTAGTACTATTTTCAAAATAAGGGCAAATTTATCTCTTTAAATTTTAAAATATAAAGTATGAAAAATAGTAGAGCATATGGGAGATTCCTGTGTGTGATTTCTTCAACGTAAAAAGAGATGTTGGACTTTTAATACTAATTGCAGATTCCTGTATGTGATTTCTGCTTCTTCGACTGTCTTTTATGTTCAAGTTTCTAAATCCAATGAAACCTCTATAAAAATGCAGATTTGTGGACCTTTGAGCTTTAGAATTGATTGTGGGGTGAGTGTTGATATGACGAAGAAGAAAGAATGGTGGTATATGAATGTGATAAATGATCCTGTTTATGCCGCTGAATATGCATTACAAGTTCTTGGTTCTGCAAAAGCTGTAGCCTGGTATTCCCCCAAACAAAGAGAGTTCATGATTGAACTCCGATTCTTCGAGACATGATTTACTTGAATTGGTTCACTTCTTTCTCTAAACCATTTTTTAATGTAACTTGTTTTAGTCCAAAATAGCTTTTACATTCACTCCAACCATTAATTGGAATGTATTTTTTTGTAATTGTTTTTTTAGTAGTATATGAGTTAATTGTTGTAGGTGTTGTATTGGATGCCTAACGTTGCTCGACAATGTTGTTCCATGACACGAGTAGGTGCACGCACGTGATAGTATCATGTGTTATCTATCAGGTGCCAACTGTGGACGATTTCATGTACCGATACAGTCCTCGTCCGACCATGTCGCGCTCGCTCCCATACTAAACCTAATAATTCATTATGGACAATGAGATTTCCCAATCTTGAATGGATCTCAACTCTCCTCAATCGTATTTTTCAATATCTCTAACATATCACATATACATACTTTGTTTTTAACTTGTTAGTAATCGAAACTATATTACAATCCAATTAGTTTATCCGCCCAATCAACTCTACTTCTTCATTGCATTTAGAACAAGAGTTTGTAGTAAATTTATGATTAACGTCTTCATAAATATTTCTTCTTGTACAACGAAATAAATCAAAAATAGCATAATTAATTAGTTAATGAAAAAGTAAAGGAAAAAAAAAACATATAGGCAACCTGAATTGATAGTGCAACTGAGAGGGTGTTTGGCTAAACTTATTTTAAACAGCTGATAAACTCTTACGTCTGATAAGATGTTTTAAGAGCTGATAAGCAGCTACATCTTATTTTTAGGATTAATTTTTAGAGTGTTTGGATAATGAGCTTATTTCCTATTTTTACTCATTAAAAGATCTTAAATAAAAAAGTGGGGTAGAGGTACTTATTTAAAAAGATCTTATTTGCTCTCCAACAACTTATTTTAAAAAAAATTAAGATCTTTTTCTTAAAATTTACCAAACACTTTGGAAGAGATTATAAGCTCTAAAACATCTTATAAGCTCATTTTAACATCTTATAAGCTTAGCCAAACACCCTCTGAGTCTTTTAACCCGGATTAAAATTTGGGCTTTGATTCGGGTTCAAGCCCTTTTTTTTTTTTTCTTTTTGATACAACAAAAAGAAGGTATATTTTATTCAAATAGGAATTATAAAATTTCAACGATTTTATTAAAAGAAATACTCAAGATATATAAATCTTAGATATTTCGAATTATTTTAAAGTAAAAGAATTAATTATAAACTCCATAATAAATAATAAATTTGAAATTGAGAAAAATAGGAGATCTTGGATCATTAATTATGTAAATTTGAAGCAACGGTTGAGATGAGTGGTAGCAGTGGACCAGATACCGAGGGCCCTTCTCTTTTCTATCTCCCCCCGTTAACCCTTTTTTTGCCCTCCCTCACTGGGCGCACACACACACACACACATTGCGCAACCCTTAATTTCACCACAGGTAAGGTAAACCCTCGCTCAGAATTATCTATCTTTTCTTTTCAGAATCGCCCCATAATTCGCACTATTTCTGATTTTTCCCCCTTTCTTTTGCTGATTTTGGTTTTGGATTTTCAATTATTTGTTTATCTCTGACCTATGTTAGACTCTTGCGAAAAAATGCTGCTGTATTCTTAGGGATTGATTTTGTTTTTTTTTCCTCTTTCATCTTGTGCATGTCTTTGTTTCATTTCGCTTGTTAAAAATTTGCCCTTTGTTTGATTTTATTTTTGATATCTGTGTGTTTTGCTGCTTTGACTGTGTTCGATTCCCTTCTTCTTCTTCTTCTTCTTCTTCTTCTTCTTCTTCTTCTTCTTCTTCTTCTTCTTGTCTCTGAGTCTGTGTGATTTTATCAACTAACTTTTGTTTTTCAAATAAAAAGGAGAGCTTTTTGGCATTCTGGCGATGGCCACAAAGAAAATCATAGCCATATGCCAATCTGGAGGGGAATTTGAGACTAATAAAGATGACGGGTCTTTATTTTACACCGGTGGAGAAGCTTATGCTCTCGACCTTGATCATAAGACCCAGTTGAAAGATTTCAAGCGTGAACTTGCTGAAACTTTTCAGTTTAGGGCTGCTGCATTGTCAATTAAGTATTTTCTCCCTGGAAACAGAAAGACCTTGATTACCATATCTAAGGATAAAGATCTCAAGCGTATGGTTAACTTCTTCAAGGACACTGATCAAGTTGAGGTTTTTGTTGTTGCTGAAGAAGTAGATGTTGCTGCTCCAAATGTGTCCAACATGCCTGCCAGTAGGTATTTTTCTCACTGCCCTGCTCACTCTTCATTTATCTTTTCTTTGCCATTCCTCAACTTCTTCAATTATACCAACTTGTGTTTCATGCTTTGTTAAACAGTCAAAGCGGACTGCCTGTTAGTGATGCACATGTTTTGTATATCCTCGATTTTACTGCACTCATGCTTCTCAATTTGTTGATTCATGTTGTGATATTTTTCAATGCGTCGAAAATATTTTCGACACCACTCGCTCACCTGACTTATCCTTTTATAGTATTTGTGTTGAGTCATTTAAAGGAAACTGAAACAAGTTGTTTCGTAATAAAGCTTGTCTTCCTCCGCCTTATTATCATGAAATCAAGCAGGTTTTCATTTGTGAAATTAGCGTGAACGCACTTCTCTTTAAATTCTTTGTAATACTATGACTGGTTTAAATTTACAGGTCAAGCAGGACAACTGTGTCTGCGGCAGCAGTTCCTTCAGATGTCCCTGTGGATGTTATGCAAACTGATGATGCAATTGTTTTAGATGAGCCTATTGAAACTACACCACTCGGTGCGTGTTCGTTCAGCAATGAAGATAGGCATCGGAGAGCAGCAACTCAGTGGGAGAATATCATCACAGGTGTTGACCAAAGATTCAATACTTTTGCCGAATTTCGTGAAGCTCTGCATAAATACTCCATTGCCCACGGCTTCACCTACAAGTATAAGAAAAATGACAGCCATCGTGTGACTGCCAAGTGCAAAACAGAAGGTTGTCCATGGCGCATATATGCATCTAGGTTGGCTACAACTCAATTAATATGCATAAAAAAGATGAATCCCGAGCATACTTGTGAAGGGGCCACCGTAAAAGCTGGTTATAGAGCAACTAGGGGATGGATAGGCAATATCATAAAGGAGAAACTCAAAGTTTCTCCGAATTATAAACCAAAGGATATTGCGAGTGATATCAAGCGCGAGTATGGTATTCAGTTGAATTATACGCAGGCATGGCGTGCCAAGGAGATAGCAAGAGAACAGCTTCAGGGTTCTTATAAAGAGGCATACTCTCAGTTACCATTTTTTTGTCAGAATATAATGGAGACTAATCCAGGAAGTCTTGCTACATTCAGCACTAAGGAAGATTCGAGCTTTCGCCGATTTTTCGTGTCATTTCATGCCTCAATATCTGGTTTTCATCAGTGCCGTCCTCTTCTTTTTCTCGATAGTACTCTTCTTTATTCGAAATATCAAGGAACGTTATTGGCCGCAACAGCTGCAGATGGGAATGATGATTTTTTCCCTGTAGCTTTTGCTGTGGTGGATGAAGAAACCGAGGATAACTGGAATTGGTTTCTGACAGAACTGAAGTCTGCTCTCTCAACTTCGGAGCAAATTACTTTTGTTTCTGATTTCCAGAAAGGCATAAAGAACTCCTTGATCGAGATATTTGGCAACGAGTGCTATCACGGTTACTGTTTACGATCCCTTGCGGAGAAGCTAAATAAGGATCTGAAAGGACAATTTTCTCATGATGCAAGGCGTCTCATGGTTCAAGATTTCTATGCCGCTGCCTATGCACCCAAAATCGAGGTGTTCGAAAGGTGTGCTGAGAACATAAAGGCTATATCCATCGAGGCTTATGATTGGGTCATTAGAAGTGAACCAGAGCACTGGGCCAATGCAATTTTTGGTGGGGCTAGATACAACCATATGACATCCAACTTTGGCCAACAGTTCTACGGTTGGGTGTCTGAGGTGGATGAGTTGCCTATAACTCAGATGGTTGATGTGTTACGTGGCAAGATTATGGAATTGATCTATAGGCGAAGACTTGAATCAAGTCAATGGGTTACAAGGTTGACACCTTTTATGGAGGATAAACTTCAGCTTGAGATGTCAAAATCAAGATCATTTCAAGTGGCGCTCGCACATACCAGTACGTTTGAAGTCCGCGGTGGTGAGTCAGTGGATATAGTGGACATTGATCACTGGGACTGCAGTTGCAAAGGGTGGCAGCTAAGCGGGTTGCCTTGCTGCCATGCTATTGCTGTTATACTCTGTCTTGGAAGGAGCCTTTATGAATATTGCTCTAGATTCTTCATGACTGAGAGTTATCGCTTGACTTATACAGAGTCAATCAATCCCATACCAAATGTGGAGAAACCGGAGAGAAGTGAACTGCATGAAGCAACTATTGTAACTCCTCCTCCTACTAAACGTCCACCTGGCAGACCAAAGTTGAAATCAGCTGAATCTGCAGATGTCATTAAGCGCCAGCTTCAGTGTAGTAAGTGCAAAGGCCTGGGCCACAATAAGAAGACATGCTAGTAAGTTTCTTCTCTCTCTAATTCCCGACGTATTAGTCCAAATTGGGGTTGGTTTGGCCTTTTAAATTGTGCTATTAATATTTAATTTTACTTTTATTTTGTTGTTTTTTTCTCATAACTCATTAGTAGTCATCGGATACTCGGATCGGTGTAGTTATGTGGTAACCCTCTATAGTATGTTCAACAATTGTCATATCTTCTTTGTAATCATCTAGTGCTAAATGTTTGTTAGACTATAATGAAAAAAGATAAGTTGGGTCTTATAAGTATGTCTATTGCAATATGTTTGAAGCTGTAAGAGAACTAAGGTAAATTATTCCCAAAACAATCCATGTTTGTAGTCTAAAGTCATTAGTTTCCATTGACTTATATATGTATGCGTGTGTGTGTGTGTGTTTGTGTGACCTTGCATTGATTTGTGGTGGTTGTTGTAACAGCAGGGTGAATGGTGTTGGCGTTGAGGAACCAGAGACTCCTATTTTGACGGTACTAGGAACCGAGGAACCCGAAGGAAGCTCTTGATTAAATATCTTTTTTTGTCTTTCCGACAATGTATTTTATGATGATGTTCGTTGTCCTAAAGGACCTGGATACTTTTAGACTAGTTTGTGGACTAATATGTTAGCCAGTGTTTTTATTTGCCAGTGAATTTTCTTGCTCCAATTATCGGCTGGCCTCTGAATGTAAAACTAGTGTAGTCCTAGTTTCTCTTTATGAGGATTATCAACTTGCTTTATTGTGGATGTGGGATTTTTATTACAGTTTAACTTTGTTAGCTGCTGCTTAGTTGAATTGTTTGATCATACTATTTTTTTCGCTGTGGGTAAGTAATAACAAAAACTATAATAATAGTTAATTCACTGAAAAGACAAAAAAGTTACATACTTCAATTCAATGAAATGGTCTGGACATAAATTTAAAATAAGAATTTGCTTACACAACAAAAAAGGGATATCCATACATATATATCGCCACGAAATATATGGTCTCTCTTCAATAAAAAAAAAACAATCAGGAACATGTTAAAAAAGCAAAGCCAGAAAATTAGACAATCAGAAACAATGTATGAAATCAAAAGGTCCTCGAGTATTTTCTAATCTCGTACATTATCGAAGATATGGAAACCAAATCCTTGTTCAAGCTAGACCCACCTGCGATTCTCTTCATGCAATCTGAAAGCCTTGTGTAGTAAAGCAATAACTGAGTCAAAGCGGCTCTCAGAATTTCCATACCACATAAGAAGTTACTAAATGAAGTAATGACATCATTGTGCATCAGCTCTATCGCAGCTTTCCATCTGCTGCCAAAGTCCTTTATTATTGGCTCTACTTCACTCACACTAATCGGCCGCTCTGACGAACCAGAACTTGGGTCCTCCGCTGTTTTTCAGCAACACACACATAAACATCAACCACCAATATGTATACACACACACACACACATACATATGTACACACTTACATGCTCTAATCTTTACAAACTTGATTAGATCACTGAAGTGTTCCATCAGTAGTTCCTCCTGCGTTTGAAAATAATGAGTTCGGACAAGTTCACATGATGTCACTTAGAGTAAAGCTTAATTTCAACCAGAGAAATACTATCCAACCAAAGATAGCTCAATTTTCCTACATTATAACCATCATGAAATGAAAGGATCGAACCATGTTTGGATATTATCCATTTGTTGTTCAAACAGAAAAAATAAGTTTTAAAATATTTTGGTGTAGTCAGAAAGAAACCAGTTGGCCCTTCCAAGCACATATTTCCTTTCCAATAAGGTACTTACGACATGCTCATCTATTTGGGAAGGCTGGTTTCCACAAAATAAAGAATACTTGTATTAGATTAAATGAAATGGAACTGCCAAACTATTATAATTGCACAAGCATGAGTTCTTGCAGCTTAAGTAGGCTAAACAAGCTATCGTGTCAAAATTATTACCACATAAATGGATGTATTGCTTTTCAGCAACTCTTCAAAGTGCATCTGAATTTTGCTCCCCTCGGGACCAGCTTCCTGAGACATACATGACAATCTTTACAACCAACATTTAACATACAGGATTCAAATTATTATAGAACAAATAATGAAGTTCTGTACCAATTGGATCGCATGTGCATGTGTATACATTGTATGCGACATATAAGAAATGGCACCGCCAAGATTTCCTTTTCCCTTTTTTTGTGTGGGTGTGGTTGGGGGGTGGGGGTGGGGGTGGCGGATGGGGATTTCTCTTGTGGTTTTGTACGTGTAAGGAAATATTTGTGCATTCATTTTACCAAAACATCAAACATGCAGCTAAATTCAATGAGCTAAAAAATTCTTGGATTTCACCTTTTGGATCATACTTTAGTTGACTATCGTAGTTTACCTTCAATACGGCAATTGTCATGTCGCAGTTATTTATCAAAAATACAGTTTGCAACTTTGGTTTCTGGAATAGTTTGGCAAGCTTGACAAGTAAATCATCTACAGCCATTCGCAATCTCTCCAAGTTGAGTTCAAGCTGAGAATTTAGCCAGTTTTACACCCAAAACAAAATTAGAAAAACAAGAATGACGTTGAACGTCTACTAATCAAAACTTAGTAAGAATTGAGAAGCTAAAGCTACGGTTTGTTTCTAACCTGACCATCTCCATAATCAACATTAAGCTGGATTAAGGAAGCTGTAAATTCAGCATAACGCCTCATTACATAATGAGGATGTACATCATCTTCCCACAAAGTGCGGACATTGGCATTTCGAAGGCTGTTGAGGTGCATGTCAAATACCATCTTAAACCGTGGCCATAAAGAAATGTTGACCTGCTCAGATTCATTTGAGACTGTTTCAGTGATTTGTACCAACTAATCATTTCATCATGCGCATAAATAAAATCATCTACAGTGCCTAACCAAAGACTTCAAGGCAATTACAAATGGTATTTAGAGATAAGAAAAACATATACATGTGGTTAAAAATAAGTATATAGCTTGAAATGCCCTGTTGTGTAAAGAAAGTCAGCACAGTACTTGACACCTTAAGTTCCATACCATGGAATAGTTTATGCCTTCAGATTGTAAATTTAAGATCATATAAATCATTCACATGCAGGGAGAAATCACAGATGGACCCACCATGTAGGTCTCATAAGCACATATTCACCTGGTGAAGTTGATTGTACATACCTTATCCAAGTATGAATCCAGACACGGTATTCGCTTCCGAGACATTATAAGCTAAGAAGAAACAAAATACGAAAAATCAAAAGCTATGAAGAAAAACCAAATTTGCATAGTACATATTTACTTGAAATTTTAACAATAGAAATTGAAAATGATAAGCAGATGTCATTCAAGTCCCAACACTTTGTGGATGCAAATTAACAATCTTAAGGAAACAGTGAAAACAAATTTGCAACAAAGTGTACTGAAAGAAAAAACAAATGCCCGAGTTGGAGAACTGCTGCAGCTACAAAACAAGTCGTACACGTACATCTTGCAATTGAAAGGAAGGATACTTAGGTGGTGTTTGCAAAAGCTTTTGAAAAGAGATTCTGAGCTTTTTTGGGCTCAGAATCACTTTTGAAGTGTTTGCAGTAGCAACTTTTGCCTACACTTCTCCTAAAATAAACTTCTTTAAGATAAAAATAACAAAAGCACATCTGGAGCAACTTCTCTTAAAATATGTTGCTGAAAGGTTATTTTTCATGGAATTTGCAAACACCCCCAACTTTTAGAAATAAGCACTTATTATTAACTTACACGTTTTTGCAAACACCACCTTAGAGGAGTTCTGGTAACAGCTGAGTCTGCTGAACCCAGTCTACCCCTCTATTTACTATAAACTACTACGAACCATAATGATGGAAAACAAACTCCAGGAAACTTCAATCAGAGAAAACAATTAGGCTTGTTCTCAAGAATATAAGGGTTTACTATACGACCTTGATCCCTCATTACAAGTGCCTGTTCTCATCACAGGGTGGAAAATAAATACTCAACAAAATAGATACAATTGTCATATTCAATAAAAATTTCTATAAGATGCAGCAGCGCAAAAATTTCACACAAGATGAAATATGAAAATATGAAACTTGAGTCCACAAATGAACAGGAAATTTGTGTAAGGATAGAAGAGAGACTCAGGTTCACATTATGAAGCCAAAATGATTTGGAAATAAAATTTAAACACACTTAGCAATTGGAATATTGCTGCAGCATCTCACCCGGTACTGGTATATAATGCGAATCATGAGCATCAGACCAATTGCATCAAAACAGTTTGGAAGAATCGTATTCAGATGTTCTTCAATGACAGAGAAGGGACCTGATAATTTAGCACAGGGAGTGTTTCAATATAGTTTGCCATAGGATGACTTATATAGATAGGAGTTAGAATCAAATGATGTGGCCTTGAGAACTAAATCTATATCAAAAAATTATTATCATCACTCATTTATATATATTAGACACTTGTTTATTGGCAAACTTAAGAACGATCATAAATGGAGGTTACCTGCAAATATTTCATAAAACATAGATTGCTCTCCAAAGAATTCGTCACAGAAAAGATATCTGAAAATGACACCAGGTAAAATCAAAAGATTATCAAAGAATATATCATATTGTATTCAGTGTGAAGTAAACTTGAGGTAAAATTCAGTGAAAAGAGAGTCTTATGGTACTCAGAAGCAGCAGTATCCATAAGCAGCTTGTGCAAGCTCCTGAAAAGGACTTCATAAGGATGTCTTTTAGAGCTGGCTTCAGCTATATGTGGAATCAAGGCGGACTCATCAATTTCCTGCAAAAAAGAAGAACTGAATGAGTCAAAAATATTTACAGTCAAACTTGTGTACCAACAGCTTCATGTTAACCTGCAAAAAGTATTAAAACCATAAAAGAAGATAACAACCGAGGCATTAAGTGCAAGTTGTGAGTGTTGTTTATACTGTACATGGTCCAGTGTGATGAAATTACACTAAACTGAGAAATCCATATGCGGTTTATGTTTATGACTGGAAGCAGCACTATATTTGTGTATTTCATTTAGGATTTGGCAGAAGGATAACAGGAGGGGAATGGGAGAAGCGAAGAAAATATTATAGATAATTAAGGAAAAAATACACAGATCAACTCAGAAAAGATCAAGAACTAAATCTAATGAGATGTGGCCATTCTGCAGTGAAAATAATTAGTTAGGATAATGTGTTACAGATAACAGATTCACACCTTGAGAATATTTATCCTCTCTCCCAAAGCAAAAACAGCAGACCGGTTTTTTAACGGTTCTCTTCCTCTCAAGAAAAGACTAGTACTTCTGGTGTCAACACCAATCAAATCGTTAGAAGTTGCTATATCTAGTTGCAACTTCTCTAGGGCTTGAATATAAGCCCGGATTTTTGTACTTAAAACCTGTAAAACAGAAATAGAAAGTGAATGTATAACAATATGGCATCCCAGAAAGCAGATTAATTAGCATCAAAGCAAAAAAGAGAGCAGATAAAAGAAAAGAAGGAAGAAGTGCCCATGGGCCTTTTGTGACATTAAAGAATGCATCCAACATTAGCCAAAGACACTAACATCAGGTAACAAAATTAATCATTCATGGAGCACATTACTAGTAGTGTGCAGAACTGATAATTCCTCTAGAAGCCATTGTGCATCCAAAGATATTTCATAACCAGTTAACAGTTCTTCAGGATCAGTTCCCACTCCAAAAAATCCACATATTTTCGGTCAATGATATTGCAAATTGCAGGAGATCTTAAGAAAGATATAACAGAAATGAAGAAGTAAGGCAAGATAATTAATTTTGCCAAGAAAATAGAGAAAAAACTCAGTAAATAAAGCCCGTTATTTGTCTGTTGATTTACATTTTAAGTGGGCAGGAGAAGAAATGTTATTTGCATGCTGATAGCAGCAGATGAAGAGCATTTGTCAAAGTATATCAAATTGTAATTTCACTTCACTATCACTTCAAGCAAGTCTCAGATATTGGATTGTAGTTGACTTCACCAATCAACTATACATGTAAAGATGTAAATCCTTGTAACGCATTTTACCTTATTCATGGTATCAATATATGCAGCACGAACATCAACATGTACGTCTTTTCCATGTTCCTTAAGAAACTGAATCACATATCTGCAGGTGTGACAAAAGATATGAAGTGTTATGCCTTATCGGTTATTTTGGAAAAACACAAACTAATAATAACAGTGAACAGAAGAGATTTGATACAAGTTAAAGAAGGGGCAGATCATATCGATCAGAGAGATAAAAATTAAAAAGTCTCGATGCTGCCGCAATCTTTATGTCGAGAAAGTGGCAAGAGATATGAATCTCGATTCATTCTGACAATAAATTATTGTTTCCAACAAATCTGATAATGGCATAACAAATATCAAGTTGCATAAATGACAAAACACAGTTCAGATATTATCACAAATTGCAGGGATATATTCTACCATAGAGTGTGTATTGCTAGAAGTGCCTCCCATTTGTAAAGTCCTCATATTTTGTAAAGGCTCGTATATGAAGAAATAACTCAAAAAAAGTTAAAGATGTATCTATCTAGTCAGTTTGAGCAAATATGATTCTTTAAAATATAAATTATGCCACTTATTAATGTTTCCATCTGCTTAGTGAAAAAACTCAGCATAGTCAATGGCATGCAACTCAAGTTATTAATATAGTTTGTAACACAAACTAAGAAGATAATATAATCTGGACTAATGCTTCAAATATGAATGATTGAAGATTCAATATGGGCTACGGCATTAATTTCATAACAAATAAACGGAATTTCTTATATCCAACATAACTTACTTGTATTTCAGAAGAATACTTTGTTGAAGGATCTGAACGTTTGTCTTAGGTTTCCTCAAAGCATTAAGTTTCTGAACCATGAAATCAAATACCTTTGGAAGCGGAACACAAGGAAAAGTGATTAGGTAGAGGTGAATATAAAAAGACTTGTCTATATTTCAAGCAATTAATGATGTAATGGCTAATCCAAACAACAAATTCTTTTACAACAAAAAACAACTAGTTAAACTTCAAAGAAATTTAGACGAGTAACAAGATAAGCTGAAAGGAGACTCTACATTGGAATTAGGCATCAATGTAGGTAGTGATCAATATATGGATTAGATAATAGAAACAGTTAAGGAATGTGTCAAAGCCGAAGAAGGGGAGAAAACAGAAGGCCTTTTTACTGGTCCCTCCTGAGCTGACGAAACAAGGGAATGAAAGGTCAATTTGCGTTGGATTCTCTACCATTGCCTAATATGTTTATGTTCCATTCAGGCAGCAAGTCTAGGGTGATAAGTATGCCTAAATATTATGTTCATCAGCCCGTACGGATATGTGTTTTCATAAGACCCGCCCCGAAAAAGTAAGCGCGAGAACTAGAACTACATATAAACACGAGTAAAGAACATCCAACTACCTATATTTGAAAAAATCCTTATGTTTAACGCCAACAGCCTCTACCAATATACTTGTCATTACACAGAAGACGTGATCAGGATAAGTTTTTGAAAGACTTCAATGATTCCCCATATGATCCCATAATCAAGATTTCATGCACACATTCACAGCTAGAAAGTAAGCATTTACGATCAACTATAAAGTCTAAAAAGGCCAGCTTAATTTTTTTTAAATAAATTATCTAAGTTTACATCAACAAAATCCACTCTTTCAGTTACAATCCATGATACAGGGAACAGATCTTCAGAAACAACACAGGCTCCTAGCTAACGTTCTTCTCTTGCAAATTTCGCTCAACCTGGTTTCTTACTTCAACTTCATACAGCTAGATCAACCCTATGAACCCCTACCGTAGAGTTAACCACCCGACCGGAAAAAAAGAAAGAAAAGAGATGAACATGTACATATACAAGCATATAGTTTCAAAGGAAGACAAGCTCTGAGGAAAAGGTGCCAGACGAGGAAAGAAGAGAAATTGGTTACATGTGCAAAGCACCTATGATATAAAAAGGTGCTTGAGAACCCATCATAAATGAGTCTATGTAGAGGGACCATTCACTAAATATCGTGCGCAAAGAAGGTTATTCATGGGGATAGGCTTGACATATTTTACTATCCCTGGCACTTTTGAGCCTATAATTTAACAGCATTCAGCAATAATAGGTGGAACTTACAGTAAAATATGTGGTAACTATGTACAATACAAGTGAAAAAGAAGTAGTAACATCAATTTATTACAAAATTTGATGAGTATTTAATTTTTCATACCTTTGAAACTGCTTTTTGGCGAAGCTTTTCTAATTCAGGCTGAACATCATTTAGAGCTTTGGAAGTCTTCAACATGGCATCGACATGAACGAACTTCAGTTTCTTACTAAGAATCTCAAGGGTTCTCATGTATTCTTCACTCACCTGAAGATTTTATCAACACACCACTCACTAACCAAAACAAATGTAACAAAGTAATAAAGCAAAGTATCCAGAACCATTTGTTGCAGGTTGAGAATGACAATATGGGCAAAGGGACAATCAAATACCTATTTTAGATATGACTCACAATCTATGACTAAAAATGATACTACAATTTTCGAAGAATTGGGAACTGTTATAACTCTCTTAAATTATTTAAAAATATATATATACCTTCTTAACACTCCGGTCTTTTCAAGCTACACTTTGCCATGAATTAGACGGAAAGAAAAAAAATATCAAAACTTGAAACTCCACTTACCAATAATTAAAACTTAAAAGTCTTTAATCAATGCCCTAATATAAGTAAACAGGAGATTAATTGTTACATTAAAGACCAAACACAGAAAGATGGAAAACATTAATGGTATAAGAAAAATAAACCTTCATAGCACCGCCAGAAACGTACAAGCTAAGAACAAAATCAAATGAAAATCAAAGTGATAAATAGGAACTGCACCAACAAAAGCCTTAAGTACCTCTCCATCGACTACTATGTCTATCATTCTTGGTGGGACAATAATGTCCTCAACAAACTTGGCTAATTTTGATTCTGCTGCCTGAAAAAGTACAAAAAAACTTTTATCATGGCATCAGAGATAGGTGCATACAAGGGGAAGCAAATTGAAACATATAAAAGGATTGTGAAAATGCACAAATGTACAAAGAAACTATCTCTGCATGAAAATATAATCAAGTGCAGGTTACTGCATCTGGGTCCTCTTCTCCAGATGGACATGGAAGGTGTGTAGCATGTGCAAATTCAGCATTTTACATTTTAAGGAATCAAGGTCCAGATTTTCTGAAACGACAAACTCTGGCAGCCTTTTTGACTCCCTTCTGAATCCATTTTTTTCCAATGTCTATTGTGTCTACCATGTGGGGACAAATAGGTTACCAACTCGAGTGCTTTCAACATGCCAACCAATGTAAAAAAACTCGAAACACGGATAAAAAGAAAGAGATTATAAAACGTGAATGATTTAAACTTGTCTTTTCCAATTTCACTCTTCCAATCCTTATCTCTCTGAATTCCTATTTGTAGGCATGATCTGGAATATGAAAGGCCAACTTCTTGCATACAAATCTCAGAAGGTGAGAAAATAATTTTTTGGTACAAGATAGAACACAGTTTGAGATGCAATCTACATAAATGCAGCATGAAAGCCACAATAGTCAAACTACATAAATATTAAAGTGTTTCCTTTAAACTTTATTTTTGATACGAAGGACCTGAGGAGGAGCACAATTATCAACTTTTGCAAACAAAATTTACAGAGATGAGATATGTTTTATGTCAACTTATGTTATCTCTCCTGAGAAATTACAGATATTAAAAAAGCAAAAGGACTAAAGGAGATATATTGAGCAAGCAAAAGAAGGATCTCAGGTGTAATCCTATGTATTTAAAACAAAGTTGTCAATGTAAGCAAGTTAGATTCAAGATTTATAATGCAACTTGGGATTGCATGACTACCTGTGATTAGGTTGTAGAAGAAATTCTACATACAAGAGCGAGGGAGAAACTCTACTTTTGGTTATAAACATATATATTCATAGTTCTTGAAGATGTCCACGACCAAATCTTGATTCTTTAGAACTCATTGAAATGCATAGCCCATTATACACAATGTATTTCAAAAAATCCATAAAGCAAACAAAAAAGATATGGGGAACCATGTCATGTGATATACTTATTACTATCCAATAATTACAAGTAAACCAAGTGTCTTAAACATTACCTTGCGATTTTTCAGCTTGAGCCCCATATCCATAGATTTTTCTTGAAGGATCTTTATATCTGAACTTATTGAACCTATCTCGGCCTACAAAAAGACAATAAAAGTGTATGATCTTTCTGATGCAACTTTTAGAGGGATCGATAGAGAAAATTAGAAACAACTTATTAAATGTTATTCATTCAAAGCAAGAACACCGCCATGTAGCAGCATAAAGAATTGAGTTCATCCAAAAATTCACAGAAAAAATCCGAGAGAACACCACAAAACTGAAGGAACTTTACTGAATCTAATTCCAATACTACCTACAAATTCCCGGAAATTGAGCAACAGAACAGATTCTCTCTATCTCAGTTCAATCTGGGATAACTTGTTAAGAGGAATATCCACTCATATGCTTTAAGTGTCATTAATTTGAAATTTCTCACACGCAGGTAATACCGTTTACATTTTGTAAAATGAGTAGCAGCTTAATTGTAATTGAATATAAGATGTGATACCTGAAATCCACTGAGAATATTTTCCATTTGCGAGAGAATGGTGTCACAATCATGAATTTGATCATGAAGTGAGACTAGATTGTCACTTTCTTTGATGTAATCCTGATAGTGAACAACACGGGAAAAGGAGCACAAGTAAGCATAACCAAACAAGAACAAAAAACCAAGACTGGCACATGGTTATACACATAACAGATCTAAAGAAGAACTAGAAGTTCCAGGATGGATTAACTAATATCGAAAGAAACTAGTAAGAATGACAATATGTCGCTGAAAATGAGAGGAGCGGGTGTAAAGAATCAGAACCTCAATGGAATCCAGCTCAATTTGCCTCAGATTGTTCTCGACATCCTTGGTGTAATCCCGCAATTTTGTACCTTTGGACAGTATAGTAGCAACTACCTTCAAGGGAAACAACACAAGCCCAAGAAATAATATAAGAATGTGGGGCTACTTGTGGGCATGAACAACTATATATATATATATATATATATATATATATATATATATATATATATATATATATATATATATATATATAGCAGAGTGCAAAGAATTTGTTGTAACATACATCATCAGTTTTACAATCTTGAAGTTCTTGCTCTAGTCCCTCCAGTGAGATATCATCACTAGCAAAATTAAACCAGCAAAAAATATTCAGGGGATCACAAAAACATATATAGACACACACAAATATGGAATTTTTAGAACCTGGGTAGATCGTCTTCAACAGTCAATTCACCAACAAAAGCTCCCAAATCCAATAAATTTCCCTGCCCAGGCATTTAAGGAGATGAATGCCCCATTAACAAACATTACATAGGTAATTAATTATGTTACAAATGAAAAACAAAAATCAAAAGAAGAAAGAAAAAAAACAGAAATAAAAGGGAAAAGGCGTTTACTGGTTGATGATTTGAAGCAACCTCGGTCATCTTCTTGATGCTTGTTGTAAAGAAGAAATTAAGGTCTGGAAAATCGAATGTCACCCGATGTGGTTTAAGAGTGAGTCTTGATTTGATTGATTGGGTGATTTGGGTTAGTACAGTTGTGTACTAATTTGGATTAATGTTCGGAAAAAATGGAACAGCGATTCAACAACATGGTTATCAGAACCGGGTTGGTTGATCACTGAAAACCGGGGTCAAAAGGTCAAAATCCGGTTCGACCGGACGAAACCGGTAAAACCCGGAACCAGTGGAAAACCCCGGTTTTTGAATCAAGGCGGAGAATGACCGTATTTGAATGGTGAGGGTTGGGAATGACAGGATTCCGGTGGTTTGAAAAGGAGATGCTTGGCCGGAAGATGGACAAAAAAAAAACAAGGTAAAAATGATGAAAACGAGTAACTGCAGGCAGAGAAGAAGTGAAAAGGGGAAAAGAGGAGGTGGGTGGGGGAAGATGGAGATAACAAAAATTGTTTGTAAATTTAATTTAAATTTAATTTTATGGTCACTGATTAACTAATTCATTCATTTACAAAAATAATAACTTAATTTTAATAATAAATATAATTAATACATTTTTACAAGATTTATAATTTATAATAATTATAAAATAAAAAATAAATAAAAACCCGGGTAAAAATACCTAGCCGGTTTTATGTCCGTTCCGGTTCTGATAACATTGAACAACTCATCTTGCTTGATCTCAACTGACCGCAGTAGAAAATAATTAATAATTCTATTTTTATTTATTATTAATAGGCCCAAACTGGATCATAGTTTTACCAATTTGCAACATCTATTAAAATGATATCTTTCAGAAAAAAACCGAGTTCACATTTAGGAAGGGTAAAAATAGATTAGAGGTCGCATTTTTCCTGGAGGAATTTTCGATCGTGTTGAGGTTGTACCACCCAGTTGACATAAATTTGAAGAATGAATCTCCGTTCACTATATGCAGAGGAAACGTCGCATGCTCCGAACGTAATTTACTAGCTGAAAAGTTGAAGGAATGTGGGATTTGAAGGAATTATGTCGTTTATTTTAAATTATCTTTAATTACCAAAGCCTAGCAAGACATGCCCAAATTTTATATTTTAGTACTTGAATAATTTGTAAAATACGGAATTGTATGCATATCAGTGGAAGAAATGAGGGCGTACGTGAATGATAGGGCGTTGTATTTTAACAAATGCAGCATAGGGTTGTTGGCATGAGAGGTTCCCTTCTTTAGGGTACGGCAATGTGTGGATAAATTTCCGATGGAGTCAGGTGGTGAAGAGAAGCAAGTTGAGCTAGAGTTTGATAAAATCACAAGAAATTAATCTATATATATGTATGTATTCCTCGAAACCGAAACATATCATGAATATCTATACCATCTCTAAGGTTAACTGAAAAAGCAAATTAAGGACACGGAGAATGAAGAGAAGGAGATCGAGGTAGAATGTATAAGAAGAAGAAGAAGAAGAAGAAGAAGAAGAAGAAGAAGAAGAAGAAGAAGACACAACAACAACGATGAACTCAATATATACTCTATAATTTATAACAATTAACGTACGGCAAAAACAAATTATCACATTAAGCAACGGCAAACTAAAAGCTCATCTAAAAACAGCATGAAAATAATTATTTGTTCAAGCACAATGGTGCTGACTGCAGTTTAATATAACCATAAATGATGATTAGAATATGTAATTAAGCAGACAACCGAACCTAACAGCATCGTTAACATTCACTAATCACTATACATGCCAAAAAGATATATACGTAAAATTATAGTGCACTAATTGTGGCAATATCTCGGAGAGTGCCACCAAGGTGAAGAGGGACAAGAGGCACAAGTGAATGCAAAATATCTGTTATTAATGGTCGATAACTTGCTTCCCCTTGCACACACAACACTGCTACAGCCCCCACCTACACAGCGTTCACACGTTCATATATACATATACATCCAATTTCAGACACACGTTAACATTACATACATACATACATACATACATACATATAAATGTTGTTTATAATTTTCTTGTGTGTCTGAAGCAAATTTGGTTTGAAGGACATTAATTGATTAACCTGGTATAAGTGCTTCAAATCCATAGTGTCTCTGATCGCAGGATCCACGATCTTCACCAGTTTTGTTCTATCTGTCAGCTGAGGCATCGCCTATATATATATACACATATAATTTATATTAAAGAACTTTGTTACCCGAATAAAAATATTTTAATTGATTATACATATATAGTATATACACGGTATACCCACCCATGTGACTATAGACTGGCAGTGATCAGCCATTTTCTCCATAGGCTTTCTTCCTAGTAGAAGCTCCAGCAGTACTACTCCAAATGCATATACATCACTTTTATCTGTTAACTTACCTTTTTTTTCAATTTATTATTATATAATTAGAGGACAACCAAGCCAATTAATTTATCAATCAACATACATATAATAACTAATTAAAATTTATTTATTATTACATTAGATATCTCACCATCTAGAAGATATTCAGGAGCTACGTAACCCAAAGTTCCTGATAGCTTTATATTGTTTTTGTTCTTCTGCGGTCCATCCACTACAGCTAGCCCGAAATCCGAAAGCTGATTAATTTAAAAACGAATTTTGATAATTTGCAATAAATATAATAATATATACTAGTTGCAAATTAATTAACTAAATGAATATTGAATGAATTACCTTGGCATTGAAGTTTGAATCAAGAAGTATATTAGATGATTTCAGATCTCTATGAATAACTGGTGGATGGCAGTGCTCATGTAAATATTCAAGTCCTCTGCCCATCAAAGTAACAGCAAACACTTGTCATTAATTATTAATATATCCCATCTTCATTAATATATCATTCAAGATTTCAATAATCAACACACACACACACACACACAAAT